CCCCCCCCCCCCCCTCGCCCCATCTGCAGGACTGGCTGACTACCGCGGCCCACGACTTGGTCCCCTCCGAAAACAGCTAGCGCGGGGAAGCCATCCCGAGCATTCGCCGTCGCCGCTGTCGCCGCCGCCGCCGCCGCCGCCGCCAAGACTGACGGCTGAAGAGGCGCCTCCCGTCGGCGCGTGGCTGCCACGTTGGGGAGACCTGTCCTTACACACCCCTCTCCTCTCCCTCTCTCTCCCCTCTCCTTGTATTTTTCTGTCCTCCCCCCCCCCTCTTCATCCTCCTGCCTGCTCTCTGGCGCTGAAGACCTGCGCGCGCGCCCGGCCTCCTTCCTCCTCCTCCGGCCCTCCATCATACGCACCCGGCACCATGGACCAGCCCGAGTCGCATCTCTTTGACAAAATCATTTACGCCAACAAGGTACCTCTATTGACATGCTACTGCTGCTGCTACTGCTGCTGCTTTGGCCAGACTGAGCCATCGCCAGATGACTACCTTGTCATGCAATACTGACTCCTACCACCCTGCTCCTCCCCCCCTCCCTCACAGACGCGTGGCCGTTTCAAGGTCAGCGTCAAAGGCCTGGCCTTCCAGTCGAGCGAGCAGCCAACCGCCCAGTCGGTCGGCGGCTCCGGAGCTGGGGCCACCGACTCGACTGAGGTGTCCTTCCTGCCCATCCAGGCGGCCAACATCCGCCGCGTCACCTACAGCAAGGCGGCCAGCCGGGGGAACCAGCTGCGTGTCGAGCTGAACGACGGCAATGTCCATCGCTTCGAGGGTTTCACTCGTGATGTGCGTCCCGGCGCCTCCCATGCGGGCGGGGGAGCGTGTACCACCATCACACATCGCCCTCCCACTGTCTGACCAGATCATCTACCCGCCCTGATCATCAACTCTCTCTCTCTCTTGCCTGCCGTAGGACATCACCATCATCGGGCGCTTTACTCGGCAGAACTACGATTTGGAGCTGACCCCGGTCGAGCACAACGTCCGCGGGCACAACTGGGGTGACGTGGACTTCAAGCGTGCGTGCCGCCACTCGGCTCCTCTACATTACGCCCCCCCCCCCCTTTCCATCTCCCCGGGCCTGGCTGACCCGCTCCACACTGTCCCTCTTGCGCCCCCCCCCCCCCTCCTCCCCTTCACCCCATCCCGTGTGTGTGTGCTTAGATTCGCACATGGTCATGACCTCGGCCCAGCGCGAGCTCTTCCTGCTGCCCTACTCGGACATCATCTCCACAACCATCATGAAGAATGAGGTGACCCTGGAGATGAAGCCGGTGGCCGATGCCCGGTCCAATTCCGAACAGCTGGTGGACATCCGCTTCTTTGTGCCCCAGGGCGCCAGCGGTGTGCCGAAGCCCAGTGCCGATGAGGATGACACCAATGTCACCGACGATGATGAGGGTGCCGAGACCACCAACCGTGGCGCCCTTACCTCGGCCGGGGTACGCCGCCAGCATGCTCCCATGACTGCCCCTGCTTTTGTTGTTATCCTTTCATCACTGACCTCCTGCGCCCGTGTGGCTGATCGGAACAGATCTTCTACGAACATGTGAAGGAGCGCATCGAGGCTGAGGGCGGTGGCGCGTTCGGCCTCGCCGCCTCGGGGGCCAGCTCCAAGATTGCCACCCTGAGTGAGCTGTCGCTGCTGATTCCCCGGTGCGTGCATCTTCCCATGTCGGTCGTTCGGCGTGTGCCTCGCCTCCCTAACAACACCCTGCCTGCCCTCTCCCCGCCGTTGCCACCGCCCCCGACAGTGGCCGCTTCGATGTGGTGTTCTACGAGGACTTCCTGCGTCTGCATGGAAAAACCTACACCCACCGCATCAAGTATGAGCAGATCCTCACGGCGCTGCGCCTGCCGATGGGCGACTCGTCCACCGACTACGAGGAGGAGACAGTCTACTATGTGGTACGTCGCCAGCGTGACACCTTGCCATGCACCCGGTTCAGAGCATCATGGCCACATGCCCCACTCTGCTCCAGCCTGACGTGGTCCTGGCCTGCTCCATTCCCATCGCGGTAGCTTGGTCTGAAGACCCCCATCCTCCAGGGGCAGACCTCCTACGAGTATGTCATTATCAGTGTCCCGGGCTTCTGGGTTCGCCCCGGCATGCCGGATGCCCTTCCCCTCGGCGAGGACTACCGCACTGTCGAAGTCAGCCTCACGGAGTACGTCGACCACCGCCACTGCCATTGCTGCAGCCCTACGTCGCCCCCCCCCCCCCCCCCCCTCCCTTCGGCGCCGAAGGCCCTTGTAGTGCCCCCCTCTGACAACCCACGTGTGTGTTCTCCCGCGCCGCCACGCGCCCACAGCGAAGTCCGCGAGAAGTTGCTGATCCGGTCGAAGCATGCCCCTGGGGTGCCGATGGTGCAGGACCTCTACGAGAACCGCCCCCTCGGGTCAATCCTGCATGATCTCCTCACCGGCCTGGCCTCGGTGGCCGTGTCGCTGCCTGTGCCGCTTACCATGCCGGTCCCGGACGATGAGGACAGTGCCAAGTTCCTCCCCCCGGCCGAGGGCTGGGGCGGCATCAAGTGCTCTTACAAGGCCTTCGGTGGTGGGCGCCTTTACCCCGTGCGCAATGGCTTGCTCTATGTCCCGCGGCCGACGGTGATGATCAACTTCCGCGATGTCCTGAGCGTCAAGTTCCTGCGGTGCGTTGTCTTGAGCCTCCCTGGTCGGACCGGGGGGGGCTCCACTGAATGAGGGGAGCAAGAATGCGCGCGTGTGTGTGTGTGTGTGTGTGTGTGTGTAAAAGTCAATCATGGATCCCCCCCACCGGCAGCGACCTGGCATTTGTTCTTCCTTCTCTCCGCACATGCGCATGCCGGATGCTGACTTCCTTTGGCTCGCGCCGTGTCTCCCATCGCTCAGTATCACCAAGCGCCAGGCTGGCTACTCCAATGAGGGAACCTTCGATGTGCAGTTCACCATGCGCAGTGACGCATCGCACGATTTCCGCCAGCTCCCTGCGTGCGTACTCCTCATAGCCCCCGGACCTGCCCATCTCCCCTCTGCTGCTCTTGCCCCACTCCCCCCCCCCCCCCGCTGACTGTCACACACCCGCCCTGACTTTCCCTCGATCCTGCACAGCGGAATACTCCGTCCGTTCTGCACCTTCCTGGAGAACAACCGCGTGCTCGTCCCCTCGGAGGCCGGTCTGGATGACGGATCGGACTATGACGAGGAGCGCGGCCCGATCAAGCGCCAGCGCACTGGCCCCGACATGGCCGATGGCGGCCCGGACGATGACAGCGAGGAGGACACGGACTTCGTTCCCTCGGAGAGTGGATCCGACTCGGGGTCCGCCTCCTCGGGCAGCTCGTCGTCTGATGATGATTACTCCGATTAATTATGACGCATGTGTGGGAGCTCCTCTGCACCACGCTCCCCCCCTCCCCCTCAAGTCGACTGGGCTGGAGCGAGGGGGGGAGGCAGCACATGCGCACATACAGGCACACGCGC